CACTGTGGACTCACTCTTGTTTTTTGCTTTGAAGACTTCAATGGGGAATTAAGAAGCTTATTTCATGGTACACAAAGTGTGGAAGAACAGATTGTGACAGCTGTCAGTGTGCAACAGAGAATACCTGAGTTGGTTCCTCTCCTCGAAAGTGGATCTATGGCTCAAGAACTTTATGAACACCTTTCAAGAAAGCGTCCCCTTGCTTCCAAAAAGGAAAAACTTCCAGGCAACAGCAACTGCAGCATCGTGGGCAACTTACAAAATTATGTCTTTACTGCTGTTGAGCGAGCTGTAGTCGAATCCCTAATTGGGCCAGTTCAAGAAGTGTATCAGTTTTTCAGATTACTCATTGAGAGCAACTGATTCACTCCAAGTTATACAAAAAGCATGACAAGGAGAAACAACTTTACAATAGAATTTAAAAGGCAACAGTGGGGATTCACCACCTTCATTTGGACAGATTTTGTTCTATTCCAAAATATATTTACATTGCCCCAACCCTTCATTTTGTGCTAACTCATGTAAATGTAGGAAGCCACTGTTTTATGCATTGGTCAAAGTTCTGAAACCTAACAAGACTTTAGCAATTGCTAATGATCCCTTCACTGGTACTGCTGTTTCTCACCTGGTTCCAGTCATCAGGAGTGACAATAATTGTATCACTGCAATTCCAGTGGACAACATTATTCGATTATGCTTTTTTGTTGACTGTGGTAATGACAATACTCCCTTTGTGGGAATGTTTCCTAATCAGTACGAAAAAAAACTAAAGCGTTTGAGTGGTTTTTTTTGCAACTGTAAGTGCATGGTAGCACCATCAGAGCACCGTCACAGATACATGTAACATGCAAAATTATGATCCTGCAACACGAATGGGTAGGTTTCAAGTGAATTTTTGAGAGAGAAAAAGAAAATGTGTGCCATTTATTAAAAGCTGCCATCTTTTCCTGTCAGGGCACGTAAACATAATTTTTTTTATTAAAACTAGCTTCTTTTAATGTTTTTATTATAGCAAAATAATGTTGTGTATCTTTCGAAATTGCATGACATTGACCCCTTAACGAAGATTGTGTATGACATATCAGTCCCAAAAATGTTGATGTTGTTGCTGAATTTCTCACAATGCTAATTCTTACATGAACAATGGACAATATTATTTTATAAGCATTGGCCAGTGGTGATGAGTTGCAAAGAGCGAAATATATAATTTTTAAATTACTGCAGTTTTACAGATCTATTAGAGATATGTCTTGTTTGTCCAGTTCTTGTTGTTCAAACGTATTCCTTTCATCAGCATTTGGAATTTCTCAGAGATTCTCTAATCAGGTACATGTAAAACAGTATTCTAGAGTTTGTTTCACTGAAATTATTTTTGGTAACCCTTCAATTCAATCAACATATGTGTTGTTTTTCTACTTTTGTTCCTGCTTTAATTTAATTTTTCTTTTGTTTGGGCATGGTAATGTATGTGAAATTTAAACCAGGGAAAAGTTGAACTACAACATATACTATATATTTATATGTTGTTATATATAAACTGTTTATGCTATACAAAGTATACAAAAAGTATACATCAAAGCTTTACTTCCTAATCAATGAAGATGTTTTTTATACAACTTGGCATCAATGCAGCACTGATGTATACTTATTGTACACATCAGTGCTGTTTGAAGGCCTTGAGGTATACTTGTTGTATACGTCATTGCTGCTTTAAAGTCCTGAGGTATACTTGTTGTATACATCATTGCTACTTAAATGCAAGTGATGTATACAAAGAGTATACATCATTTTTTTTTGCTAAGCCAAATCTTGCTTGATGTATATTTGATGTATACTAAAAATGTACACCATGGCAATGTAATACATACGGTGTATACTATTTGTCTACAAAAAGTATACTATCAGTGCTCTAATTTTGGTAAGGGATAGTTGCATCTAGGGTGTTTGCCCTCTTATCTCCAAGGGAAATATGTGCAGCAGACAGTGCTGCACACCCCCTCCCCCCTTAGAAACCTTGATTTCTTCAAAGCTTCCTAGTGCAAGATCATTGGTTTCAGTCTTTCCTGTGAAGTTTTTTAAGTCTTACCAAAAAAGCTACAGTTAACACAGTTGTCTTGTTAAATATTGCTGATCCCTGACAAGAAAGTCAATGTCAGGGAAACAGACACTTATCGTTGAGGTCCTTGAAAGAGAGTTGGCATGTAAAGTCAGGAAATGTCTTACCAAGGACCAGCTTCGAAGCACACTACTGTACACTTGCCTAGACACTGTCAGAGGATTCCATCGAAACAGAATTGACATCCTGAACCAGCTCAACATGATTTCAGTGTCTTCTGTTGCTGCAGATTTTCTGTAAACCAGAAAAGTGCACTCCTTGAAATGTCAGCATTCTTCCTTCCTTTCAACTTTAATATTTGACAGTGAGTTGTACTCAACATTTATTAACAACATTTTTGTCCTCATTGACTTTTATCTCTCTTTACCAGTTGTGTGGTAGATATACTTTTTAATACTTCTTGATATTCTCTTGATTGTGCTCTTCTGTCATCTATTTTTGTCTTCCCAGCTAAGCAAAATAAAATACATAATTTAAACATTAATGCCCAGAGGACTAGCCTGTGCCACAGACAGAACTAAACTTCTGGTTAAGTCCCCCTGTGAGACAGCACTGAAATCCTGGCTATGGGCACTCCTTGGCCCACCTGTAAACTAGCACTTGCATATGTGCTATGATTGGCCTGTTAAAAATACCATTATTGAAGGGAATATCGAAACACATTGGGATTGGGAGCCCAGAATATTGGCACGGGCTTTGTAGATGTTACTAACTGGCAATAGATTATGTCTGCAACACAGGCTACACTGACAACCAGACTTACAGTGTAGGTTTTAAATATATATTGTTTATAAATTCAAAAGTAAGTTTATATTCAAGTCTTTAAAAATACACAAAATTCATTTTTTATACCTTAGATAATCGTCAAATAAAATAAGGTGCAGTACAGCATTATGAATGACCCTAACTGAAACTTATTAATAATTCATAAAATGCAATTTACATCAAGAAATACAAGTAATAATTACCAAGCCAAAATATGTGTTTTGCTGCAGGAAAAACTTATACATTTCTTCTAACGTGTTCTAAAGTAACTAGACCTCTTATTGAGTCTCATATTACGCCTCTAGTGATCCCTCCAGAACTTCAAACCTCTAAAACAGTTAAACCAGCAGTTTTTTTTTTCACTTTATAAATTTCACTCTTTTTACTTTACTAATTAATTACATAACTATAATTACTGTAAGTCGTAGTATGTTTTCTTTTTAGCTTTAAAGGTCAAGAACCAATCAACACATGTTCGGGAGCGATTCATTGTTAAATAAGTGTTGTAGTTATCAGTTAAGATAAGGAGTAATTTCAAACTAGTCATTTTAACAATATGACTAGTAGTGAGGGCCTCCCAGGGGTTTTAGGGAACAAGGGAACATCGCCATTTACTTTTAGGGAACAAGGGATATTTCAAAATAACTTTTCGGGAACAAGGGAACTGTTGAGGGATATTCGGGAACAAGGGAACATTGACTTTCGACCATTTTCTAACTTTTGGAGAGATTTCCATTAACTGTTTATGAAGACATTTCCGACGTTTCCGTAATTTCACGCATTTCCGACGACTAAGCCTGGCGACTAATCTTCACAAGTGAACTGGGAACGAGTTTAGAACGCGTGGGAACCTTGGGAGAGACTCCGTCGGGTGGACCGCCATTTTTATGGTAATTTTCTCTTTGGTGTTCCATGTCTAGAAACGCTAACCATTTATTAATAAATGGCAACGGAAACAGAAGGAATTCAAGCTCAATCTGCGGATATATCAGACACAACGGTAATTGTACCGGTTACTGGTGCAATTTATCACAATGGAAATGAAAAGCCCACAGAAAGATGGTGTTTTGAACTCGGTATGAGGACTGTTTCAGATAAAGATTTTACGTCAGTTTTAAGCCGCTTGCAGAAAGGATTTGGCATCAAGGAGAAATGTGCAATGCTAAAAATCGTTAAGTTCAAAATTCAGCTGTCTTCAAAAGACTTTCGGCCAAAACTACCTGAGTGGCCTAAAGGACGAATTTTTCAAACTGACACGCAAGAACAGTGGGAGACTGCTTTACCACAGATTATTAGCCCGATTATTAGTCATCAAAGGGAGATGATAGGTAAGTCATGCTCTGATTTTTCAATGCTACACTTATGAGCGTACATAAAAATATCTCCAAGTGAGACTTTCTTGACTTTATTCATACTACTGTACAGGTTAACCTGATTTCTCAGACAACCATTCAATAAGATGAATGAGAAAATATCACTTTTAAAATGAGAATATGTTTCATAATGTTGACAGGCCATACACGACTCCCTTTGGCCAAGTTGTTGTATATGTTTGACCTTTAAGCTTCATAGTTTGAGTTGTTCATAATATTGACAGGCTATTCACGTCTATCTTTGGCTCAGTTGCTGTTGCTTTGACCTTACCTTCATAGTTTAGTTCTTACGAGTATATCTTGTAGTGACTTTCCTCTTTTGTAAGATATTATGGGAGGGTCTTTAAAGATTTCTCTAAGCAACGGTTGGTTTTCTATAAGATACCATTTGTGCATGATGATTTTTTTTAGATTCGGTACTGAGGGGCGATATTCTGTCACGAATGGTAGTATTTTCTTGTGCGTTTTTGTTTTGTTTTGCAAAGCCGACATTCTTTCGTGATGCTTGACTTCTGATAGGTGCTTATCTATCACTTTATCTCTATAACCCCTCATACGGAGTATTTGCTTACAGGTTCAGTAGAGCGATCAAAGAACGCTTAAAAAGACAGTGCTCTACACCATATTCATACTTTACTAGCTCTAGTTCATACTACCCACACACCTTTGTATCTGCAAGCTACTCTGACCTTCCGAAATTACGTCCCCCAAAGACAAACAAGCTAACTAGTCAACAAGTTCGCGAGATGAGGAATTGGAGAGCTGTCCACGGTCAGAGTGTTCCCCAAAAAACGGTGCGCAATTTGACGACCAAAGACAACCCAAGAACTCTCCCGATTAATCTATATGCGGTGGGCCCACCAGATGTCCAGCCACTTGATTTAACCAAATTAGGAGACCACCATTCAGTGCAACAAATGCCACAGAAAGAAGTGACAGAGTTTCTGTACACGTCTAATCAGGTAGTCTGTGTTAAGCATGACAAAGGGTGCCCTGAAAACACCTTGGTTCTCGCCTGCCTACAGGAGAATGTTAAAGTTGGCATAAAAAAAAGTGATGGCCAAAATTTTTGTTCAAGATCCTTTTAACCCAATATGCTTTTCGGAAAATTCAGAGAAATACATTGAGGTAGATCGCATTATTTGTATCTTGACGACCTACAAACATAATCAAGATGTTTTGGAACTTAAGGAGGAAGAGCTGATCCTATTTCAGGATGAAATTCAACAGACAAGTGATGTACTCACTCTTACAGAGGCGACAGAAATTTCTGCTGATGAACCAGAGGTGATGCGGCATTCATCAAGGAGACGAAAGAGGCGTTTTGCTGAGGATTATCTCTACTATGACTAACGAGGTAAAACTTACGAAAATACTGACCATCGAAAACTGAAATATGATTGAAATTCTGGGGAACATCAATTAATATTTCTGGGGATCAAGGGAACATGCAACAGAATTTCTGGGAACAGGGGAACTTGATGAAAGTGAATTTCAGGGAACATCTTAATTTATTTTGGGGGAACAAGGGAAAAACTCCAATTTTTTCTAGGGAACAAGGGAACATGTACCCCCCCTGGGAGGCCCTCAGTAGTGCATAAGGGTTTCTTTTCATGTATGTTACACAAAAAAGGAAGGGCACAAACTTTCTTGATTTCTCTCAGATAATGACAAATTGGACTACTTTTGGGCTTAACTCTTGTTCTAAACATAAATCTTCAAAGGCTAAAAACTCTTTAAATGCTAAAAATCCAACACTAACCTTCCAGAGGCTCGCAACATGTGACCGTTTCGAAATCAGTTGAGTAGAGCTTTCAGCAACTTTACGTCAACTGGCAAAGCCTTCCAGCTGTTAACACTGTAACTGTGACCATAGGCTTTTTCTCCACGGTACTTCGCTCAGGATAGGGTATTTTGATTGATGACGTCGGTGAATCAGAAGATGCAAAAGCTAAAATCTTGAGTGACGCTCGATTAGACACAGAGAAAGACTCACCATTACATTGCTCAAACCGTACAGTCGAGAAGAGCTTTGAGCAACTTTACGACGAGTGATAAAGCCTTCCAGCAATCAAAACTTTAAACTGTGACTATCAGCTTTTTCTCCATTCTATTCCACTTAGGATAGGCTATTTTGTTTGACAATCTCGGTAAATCAGAAGCTACAACAGCCAACCCTTTGAGCGGACACTCGTTTTGAAACAGCGAAAGACTCGCCATGACAAGACAGTTGGGTAGAGTTTTCAGCAACTTTACGTCCAGTGATAACGCCTTCAAGCAGTTCACACTTTAAACTATGACCACCGGCGTTTTGCCCATTCCATTCCGCTCAGGATAGGCAATTTTGATTGATGACCTCGATGAATCAGAAGCCGCGAAAGCCAAACTCTTGAGTGACGCTCGATTACAAACAGCGAAAGACTCGACATGACATTCCTCAAAACCATGCTGTTGAGTGGAAGTTTCTGCAACTTTACGGGGCGTGATACAGCCTTCCATCGGTGAACACTTTAAACTGTGGCCATAGACGTTTTCCCCATTCTATTCCGCTCAGGAAATTATATTTTGATTGATGACTTCTCTAAATCAGAGGCCGCAACAGCCACAAAACGTTAACGACACTCGTTCTGAAACATCGCAAGACTCGCCATGATATTCCCAGCAGCTGCATGATATTTATCGTTAAAACAATACTAAAACTTCTTTGTTTGGTCAAGAAATTTGCTTGAAAGGCGGGCTAGATACCTTCTCAACATTCTCGGCATTCAAGATACATAATTCCGTTAGCCTGTGGGTTAAAATAACGAGAAAACCAAATGGCATCGGGCGTCCATCTTGGTGCTTCGCGCGAAAACAGAGCAGCAACTCTGCAACCGGATGTGATGTCATAAATCGGTGGATCATAGGTACACGAAACAAGTACCGAGCACTATTGGAGTCGTGCCCCCCCCCTGAACCGAAAGTACACTAAATTAAGCATTTTTTGGGAGCCAAAATGACGATGAAATTGTTTACTATATAAACTTATCGTGGCTATTAATATGTGATATGGTGCCATCGCAAATTTTTCCTGTTAAACCGGTTTTTGGAGTTATTACTAAAATGGCCGCCATTTTGACCGGAAGTAAATATCACCTAACCGAAAGTACACGAAATTTAGCATGTTAAGGTCAAAATGACGACAAAATTGTTTGTTCTATGTTTTTCCGGATATTTATGTCATATAAACAAATCAACCGTGTTACAAATTAGCGGTTTAAATGAGAAAACCGGAGGTAAAAACGGGATAAAATGGAAAATGCAACTCATTCAAAGAAATTCATTTCAGTAGTGAATTTAAAAACGATGTGAAACGATGATTCACATTTTTAAGCATAGGAAAGGCCAAACATACAAACAAATTAAACTAGCAAAAAACAGATGATTTCTTTTGACTTGTTCCAACCCTTTAAGTCCCAATAAAGGGCCAAGGGCAATTTTCTTCTGACAATATTCATGCATGGTGAAGAGATTAGGTTATGAGAATTAATAAAATTATCACCTAAGAGAAAATGCTGTGATCTTTCATCAAATTCTCTCAACTTATCCTTTTAAAAAAATATATAGAGACCAGTTTGAAGAATTTGTAAGGGTGAAAAGAGTTGATCTACTATTAACTAGAATGCAGAATGCTTTGCGGCTGCCAAAGTAATTTGAGGTGTATAATAGCTCCACCATTTTGTGTTATTGAGGGGTATGAATAACACTCTGTGCATGTACATATTGGATTGAAATTGCTTTCACGATAACGTCTGCTCATTTCGAAGTTAACCATTTTCAAAAAGTTTCCGGGAAATCCGTTTGGAAGGTAAGTGGGTTCCCTACTCAGCCTACTCTTTACAAACAGTGTCTAGGTTCTTTAACTTCCCACAACATTTTATATGAACAAGGACTGTGAGACGGGGCCTACAGGTTTTTTTTAGTCCAAGAAGACTAGAAAGTCTAACGTCTCTAACCGTTTGCAGAAGACATAAAAAAGGCAGCACTTCTCATCAGTTATTTAAAGATCCTGATCGACAATTGGTCCGGCTGGGGTTTGAAACCGCGGCTTCCCGCTCAGTAGACCGGTGTTTATCCACCTGGAGCTAACCGGGCGGCGGTTTAATTCAGCTGTATTTCACTATCAAGTGAATCTACGTCTCTCTCGACAGAAGTGAGAGCCAGTCTGTAATCTTCAATGTAACCACCCCCAGAATGTCATTTAATTATCATGGACTGAGCAGCACTGATTATCATGCTGAAGTCCAAATGCAAGAAAATAGGGAAAAAGCGTTTTCCGAATGTGCATCACTTACGTTAATGTACTGAGCATGTAAAACGTATTCTCTTGGATATAGTATGTGACAAATATATCGCGCCGAGAACAGCTTGAAGACTAAGATCTGGGGTAAACGTGTATCAGGAGCTATACTAAGAAACTGGAAAAAGCTAGTTCTTTGGCGCCGGATGCCTTTTCCTTGCATCGTTTGACGTCAATTCGCTAGAAAGCATTTATTGTTATGCTAAATCACAAGCAGATTCCCTTCTTTTAAGCCTTTTTGTTTGTGTCCAAGACATTTTCGTTGAGTCCACTCTCCGTTCTAACCACCCATGAAGCTTCTCTACCATGAAGCCAAGTTAGCTTCCCTATCATATATCTTCGTACTAATGTACATCTAGCTACCTAAGAGGTTGCTAACGTATTTACTAAAAAGGGTGCACTTGCACTCACTCCGTTCCATGCATTCACAGGATGTGACAAGGTGAATACTTCTGATCACCTCCAAAACTGAATAATGGGAGTTGTTTTCGCTTACACGTTCTTCTATACGATAGAAAAAGGAGTTCTTTACCGTCAACTGAAGAAGCCAAAATTAGTTTCTTTGACCCGGCCTGCATTACTTAAACATTTCAAGGGTACGGCGAACCATGCTGGCTACATATGGAGCCAGCAGGCACTGGTACCAAGCATCTGGGTTCCTAGTCTGTAAGATTGGGGCTGGATATCTCTAAGAGGAGAGTGACGACTCTCCTGCACACCACTGTCAGAAATTACAAAGTTGAGGGTGGAACTAGTCAAGTACACTCGTAAGAAGGGCGATGCTCAGAAGAGTGACAATCGTGAAAGGTAATCGCAAACTCTTTTTTCGATTACAAGCACTTGTTTGTATAAAGCATCAAGTCTTTAGGCCACCGAGATATCATCTGTTCTTCTTCGATATTCTGTATCATAGCCAAAGTAGGCTCAAGGTAGGTAATGGATTATACATGATGATAGTAGTAGGGGAGGGACCGGTTACTCCTTTTCTTTGCGGATTTAATTAACTTTTTGTGCGGTATAAATTAACGCAGATGACGTCATGCACCATTAACATAGGATGATGTCGTAGTGTATTTTCAGCTGGCAAGGAGCAAGTGACGTCAGAATACCCTAGGGGTTGACGTCATCAAAAAATGTTGACATCATAATCTATAAATAGAATAGTGATATCATGTCCTTACTTGGTCATGATGGTGTCATATTTTTTCCAGGTAAGATGATGTCAGGGTTTATTTTTTACCTGCCGGTTTTTTCTATTGTTTCAAAACACATAGAGTGGTCATTCCTTACCAAGCAAATCATTCTCGAGATTTGAAATCATGGTTGGATCAGACCAGATCATAATTGATGAAGTTGAAATGGGAGTACACATCATACGGAATAAAATAGGAGAGATTTTTCAAGATGTATTTGTTAGAGAAGTGAATCGTCTAATCTATGTAGCAGTGAATGAACACCGCGATGGTTGTAAAATGGATGATTTATCTCACCTGCATCACACTTGCTTGACCATGGAAGCTCAGGAGGCGTGGGCAACATATTTTGAATACGTGAAAGGAAAAGTAGACTTGAAAAAATTATGGAAGCTTGCACAGCAGGAAGTGGAAAATAGACTAAATTTGCAGTTAAAAGAGACTTGGATGAAATATTTAGTTTGCCTTTGTAAGATGGATACTATCACAGTCTATTTACTCTGTATGGACTTTTTAAGAAGGGACGAATGCCATCAACTTGGGTGTTATGAATACA